CTGGCCCCTATTGGGCCTTGCGAGCTTCGGACAAAATTCAGGTTCGGACGGCCCACAGGCTAGAAAATTAGGCCCAGGCCTAAGGAGTATTCAGACCTTGGGCAGGTTGGCGAGCCGAGCCTAGGCTCGGGCTTGGACAGGGCTTGAACATTTTTTTAAAAAAAAATTCACCAAAAATGACACTGGGCCTCAGGTGGGCCGGGCTGATGGGTTGGGCCACAGACTGGGCTTCAAAATGATGGCCCAGGCCCAAGGTCCCGAGTTAGGCTCGGGCCTGGACCTAAACGGGTCTAATTGGGCCAGGCCCACCCTAGACTGCAAGTGGGCTTTGGACCGTCCACGGGTCACAGGCCATTTTTTCACTCCTGAATCGTAATCAACATTGACCCTATGATTTGCACAAATCACCCCACTCTATGCAAGTAGGGGTACAACTTGGACGAGTTTAACTTGAGCAACCCGCACCCAGCCTAAGTTTTTTTAGGGCTTGGGCAACAATATATTGTAATTTACGGGCTCGGACAAATTTTTGATGCTTCGAATTGCAATTTGGACCAAGCCTGGGTAAAGGCTGTGTATAACTCGAGCAACCTGAACTCGAGTTGCATTTTATATATTATAAAAATTATATAATATATGTATAAAGAGATGACCATTTTATTTTATTTTATTGCTGGGCTTTGGCCCTTAGATTAGAATCTTGTATTTAGACCATTAGATAAAAAATAAATACTAAACCCTACTTATTCTTTTCTTCCCTCTCTGTGTCTCAGACTCTTATTTCCTCCTCAAAAAGTTGAAGAACGGAAGAGAAAGGAGCAAGGACCATAGAGTTTAATCAGGGAAGGATTTCATTTGTGTAGATGTTTCTGCTCTTGTATCTTGATTAATATTTTACTAGTCTAGCTTGTATACTGATAGCAGAATGTTTATCCTAACCTCCATCCATAAATTGCAATAGTTTAATCATGAAGATGCTGATCATTTTGAGCTATGGTTCAGATCCACTGAAATGCATCATTGCCGGTCCTCTATTTTAGATTTGGATGCATTCTACTACTGTATTTGCAGAAGTTCGAATAATAATGAAATTAACTGCTTATTGGATTGTGGTGGTCAATACTTAATCAGGGTATGCATCTATACCGATCATGTTTAACTTAAGTTTTTTCCTAATTTTTTCTGTCAATATGAAAGGATAAAAAAAGACTTCTTGTTGTAATATCATCATATTTCTTATGAAATTTGGGCAATTCGGGCTAACCCAAGTTTAAATTATGAAGCTCGGTCCGGGCTTGGACAACCAAGCTCGGGTTGATGGTCAGGCTTGGGCGGGTTTGGGCACTGCTAAACACAATTCGGGCTTGGCCTGGGCAACCTTCCAGCCTAAGCGAACCCACCCGAGTTGTACCCCTACATGCTAGTAGACTACTACATATAAAATAAAAAAAATTAACAAAATAGATCTAAAAGTGGATAAAGAAAATTTTCACGTAGAGGATATGAGTCTTCATATATGAAGAAAAATAGACCTCCACTTAGGGAGGAAGGAAAACCTCCATGAAAGGAGGAAACTATATAGAGAGACATTATTACAATACAAAAAAAATAAAATAAAATAAATAATCAAAACAATCAATCACCAAAAACAAACATTAGCAATTACTTTCACGATCCATTCATTGTCGCAATCAATAGTTGTGGTATCTTAACTCCACTTTTATTTTACAAAATCAAACATTTTGGATCTAAAGTGACCGCCTAGCGTATAAAAGCGTTCTTAGTAGTGTTGAATCTCGATCATGAATCAAATCTTAATCTAGATTTGGAAGCTTCATCGGTGGCAAGCCGATAATGAAAACAAGATGAACGGTAGTGACTAATATGGTGATGAACATGAAGACAAAAAAAAGAAAGAAAAACCGCAGGTCAAGAAACGGAGAAAAAAGACATCCCTAGAATATACTAGTTGTTTGGGGACTTTCAGGAGGGAGTGTACAATCTTACTAATTGTTTGGGGACTTTCAGGAGGAGTGTACAATCTTTCTTTTTTCTTTTTTTCTGTTTTCAATCGATCAAAACTCTCATTAAGCCTTGTTTGATATATTTTAGTCTTGTATTCAATTTTATTTATTTATTTATTTGTGCGTGTGTTATTCTATTTTAACTGGTCTATAAACTAAAATATCCTTGAAAAGTGAATAAAAGCAACACAATACACTAATATCTCAGTTCCATCCATGTAACAGATAGGATTGTTATGGACCTAACTAATATGTTGATTTTAAAAAGCTTGTTATAAATCCATAAAAGAAATCTTCTACAATATTTCTTTTATGAAAACTAATTGGTGTGAAAACTCAAATTCCATCAATTATATATATATAACATTAAAAAAAATTCTTGTTAAAAATAATATTTTATGCCAGGTAAACTCAATTAAAAAGTACAAAGATTAATATCACAACATTACCATGCATAGTCACCCCTAAAATATGACTATCCTACTTGGTTTCTATGTTGGCCTAAAATATGACTATCCTACTCTATGGTTTCTATGTTGGCACAAAGAGCATGGATGACTTCGCCTATAAAATTTAATTATAGTGTCTAATACAATTATAGTTTCTTGTTTTTGACAAAACAAACTGATGAGATTGAACCATATGTGTAGGTTGTTCTGTTGTTTCCCTATAAGTTTAAAGTTGATATTTTACGTTTACCAATATCTTTAAACTTGAAATAAAGAAAATAATGGTTTCAAATTTGAGATGTTGTAGCAAACTAAATTGCTATGTCTGGCCAATCAAATGTGACTGTAGTATAGACCCGACTTAATCTTAATTACAGTTTGGACTATAATCCATGATTGGAGAGTGACAATTAATCCAACCTAAATTGGTAGATGCACATATTATAAGTTCAGATATTTTTTCATTCAGACAAATAGGGGTGTGTTAGCACAATAGTCTACTTGTAACAATATTCTCAATTTGAGTTACAAAAGGAAACCTAGGTTATTTATGTTGATTATGTTTACTATATCTTGATGAATCTATATAAGTTCATTCATTTTTTCATTTTGACAAATAATCACTGATTATGTTAGTGGTGTGTTGCACAATAGTCTACTTGTAACAATATTCTCAATTTGAGTTACAAAAGGAAACCTAGGTTATTTATGTTGATTATGTTCATTATATCTTGATGAATCTATATAAGTTCATTAATTTTTTCATTCTGACAAATAATCACTGATTATGTTAGTGGTGTGTTGCACAATAGTCTACTTGTAACAATATTCTCAATTTGAGTTACAAAAGGAAACATAGGTTATTTATGTTGATTATGTTCGTTATATCTTGATGAATCTATGTAAGTTCATTCATTTTTTCATTCTGACAAATAATCACTGATTATGTTAGTTATATCTTGATGAATTAAATTATGTTAGTTATATTATGTTATTGATTATGCTCTCCAATCCCATGGTAGAAGCTTAGTTGCAGGAATCGTGCAACCAGGTGGCGATTCTTACTCAGAATCGCGATTCTGTGTTTCTTAGAAAGAAATGTGTAAGAATCGCGTTTCTGTGGAGAGAGAAACGCGATTCAGTCCAAGATCGGATCGTAAAGGAGAGAGAGAGAGAGAGAGAGAAAAACCTGGTCTCGTGACTTCGACCTTCGCTCTAGCCCTAGCCTTCGACCTTTGCTCTAACCCTAGCCTTCGCCTTCGCCTTCGTCTTCTCTTTGTCTTCATCTGTGTCGATCGCCTTCGTCTTCTCTTCGCCTTCGTCGTCTGCTTCTTCTCCTCCTTCTTCTTCTCTCTCTCTCTGATTTGCGTATCTCTCCCCCCTCCCATTTATAGCATATAATAAATAATATAATTTGTTATATAATAATAAATCTAATTAAATTATATATAATAAAAAAATATTTAATAAAATCTATAAAATGAATCATTCAATTTTTATTTTTATTTATTTTTAAAATGAATGTTTATTTGTTATTTATTTTTAAATTTTTTATGTTGTGTTTAATTAATTAGATATTATATAAAATAAAAAAAAAATAATATAAATATTTTATAATAAATGAAAAAAATTTAATACAAGTATATAATTATAATATTTCAACATATGATTTTATATATATATATATATATATATATATTTTTTAAAATTTATAATATATATTTTCATTATCATTAGAGAAAAATATATATATATATATAATCTTACAATATATTTTTATATATTATATTATTTAATATATATACAAACGCTCCCTACCAACGATTCTTGAAATGACTACGATTCCCCGCTCCCGCTTCGTGCAACTAAGGGTAGAAGACCCGATAAGAATTAAAAAAAAAAAAGGATGAATTTAGATGATGAATTTAGATGTATTAAATTATGTTACTAAAATCCCATGAGGATGAATTTAACACTGAATTAAATTATGTTACTCCAATCCCATGAAATTAGAGCCGTGTAATTAAAAAAATAATAATTTTTATACATAACAATTTTAACTTATAGGAAAATTTTAATACACACTTCTAAAATAATAATTTTTATGTATAACAATTTTAACTTATAGGGAAATTTTAATGGGTCATGCTACATCCCCTAATTTTTGGCCCCCTAATCTCCCTAAATTTCAAACCAAGGCAAAAAAAAAAAAAAAAAAAAAAAAAAAAAAAAAAAAAAAAAATACGAAAAAAACCCAAGACGACGTCATTTTGGGGAGGGGGGCGCTTTTTTAGGGGGACAAATCATTTCCCAATTTTAATATACACGCCCTTAAACACAATCATATAACTCAAATTTGAAGCCAAAATTCTGGAAGCACCCATAAATTTTTTACAACTCTAAATCCTCCAAACTAAACTTTAGCATAATATACAAGAACAAATTCAAGAACAGTTCCCTCTAAAAAAAATTCAATAACAGCACATAGCATTCAATTCAACAAACAGGACCAAAAAAGCAAGAATCATGCAAAGAAATTTGACTGCATTACACAATCATTAAAAGCCCTAAAAAGATCGTGTAAAAGAATCATACCATAATAGCAATTATTCTCTCAGAAACAATCATATAACTCAAATTCCAGTACAAAATTTTACAACTCTAAACCCTCCAAACCAAACTTTTAACACAATACAAGAACAAAATTGAGCAAGTATTCCAGAAAGATGATGAATCGTGACCTGTATTAGGTTTGTCAAGCGACAGCGACGGGCTGTTGCTTGGGATTGTTCTTGGATGAGGAATCGGCGATGAAATCTTCGATGTTGTAGATGACGGTGATGTAGAGAGAACAGCTAGGGCATCGAGCGATCGCTTCGCCGATCTTGAGATCTTCTTTGGTGATCTGGAACAAGTCTCCGCAGGGACAAGGGTATGTGAAAGCTTGAAGCTCGTCATTCCATTCCATGTCTTCGATCTCCACATCGTCGTACGACATCTCGAAAGCGATTCAAGTTTCTGAAATTTTTGTTTTCTTGTTCGATGATTATGAGAAGAGATGGGTTCTTTGGGCTATTAGTGGTTATTGTTTTCGCTTCCGCGGTCCCTTTTTTTTTTTATGTTTTTGATATGGTTCCCAATTCTTATTCCAAGGTGTTTTTTTTTTTTTTGGGCAAATAACTATTGCTTATTTTCAAAGCTAAGTATAAATTACTGATAAATTTCATAAATATTAAACAATTAATTAAAATTATAAAAAATATTAATTATTTTAAATTGTGTTTAAATCATAATTTTTAATAAAAATTTATAAAGATAAAACAAACTTAAATAAAATATAAATTAATTTTATCATTTTTAAATTTGTCTAAATTAATGATCAAAATATATACTAGTAAAAAGGGAAAAAACAAGGTTTCATGTACAATCACGTTTATGAGAAATTATTAGTGATGCAGAGGAACAATTTAGGAAGTTGGTAAAAAATTAATTTTGAACTTTTAACTCATTTTGGATCACATTATTTTTTATATATTTTTTTTACACACACAAAAAGATAAAAAATTTAAAAAAATCAAAAAGTGAATTTTTAACCAATTTTTTAAATCACCCATAGCACCACTTTATATTAGTATTGATTAATTTTTTATTAATTTTTTTAGAAGTGATTAATTTTTTATCAATTTTTTTAGAAGGAAAAATGTGAATTGATATATGATATAAAGTCCATCAGGTCTACAATCAAATTGATTCGAAATATCCGATTGACAAGATTTTAAGCCTTTTTTTTTATCGGATGAAATTTTCATTAAAGTAAGGAAGCCAAATGATATTTATAATGAGATCAATTTAGCACAAAATTTATATCAAAATAAGGAAAATCTTCTCACCCCCAGCTGGCTACTGGCGGGCCACTGCGTCTTTGCCCGGTCGATCAGCTCAGAGCCCCGAGATTAGTCGAGGTGCGTCACTCCGAAGGGGTGCTGGCCCGGATACTCGGTTATCAAAAAAAAAGAAAAATCTTAGTTCAAAAATAAAAGAAAAATCCTCAAATGAAACACAAAGTAGAAACTATTATATATATCAAGATGTAAATTCGTACTGCAGAATAGAAGTAATCATAAAAGTTTGATAATAGAATAAGTCTATGGTGAATATATAGGCTACATCCATATAGAAGGTATAAATAACAGTCACACCAAAACAAAGACAGGAAAACACAACAACAACAACAAAAAATACTAACAACAAACCCAAAACGTCAAAGTAGAGATGGCGATGGATCCGACTACGGGAAGGAGAAGAGAAGGGGTGGAACCAAATCTCACGGTGTTGGGAGCGTGGCAAATCTGGTGGGTGGTGATCAATCAGGAGGCGGCGCCAAAGTGAGGTGGAAGAAGAGTGAGAATGCGAATCTGATGGAAGTCAAAGAACACCTTACAAGAAGAGAGAAGGTGAGACAAAATTGTAAGTTTGCTGTTTATCTTGTGATTACAATTTTTCATCTTTTATAAGTGCTTGTTAAAAAAATCATCAAAATTAAAAAAATTGAATAAATTGATATAATTATCACATTTACTTTAAAACAATGAAGGATTATTTTTGAAAATATACTTATTAATTATTAATACATTTTCAAAAAACAAATGGCATCTAATATCATATTCAAACTTTGGAAAATAACAATTCAGCGCAATGTTTTAAAAACCGGACCGGTGAGTGAACCGGAAAAATGATCGGGTGGACGGGTCACCGGTTCAACCGTCGGGTTGAACCGGAATCGAACCGTGACGTCATAAATATATTAAAATTATATTTAAATAAAAATATAAGTAATAAAATTATAAATTAAAAATTTTAATAATCTTAAATATTTCTCTTAATACTTTTTTTATTAAAATATATAAAAATATATTTAAAAATATTTGATTAATTTAATCGTTTTGAACACCAACCGGTAAGAAATCAAATATTTCAATATTCAATATTCCCTCCATATGATTTTAATTCAAATAATTTGATTGAAAGAAGAGCAAAAATTTTGGAGGATATCAAAACTTTAAGTTTCCCTCCAATAGATTTGATTGAATCCACATAGATTTTTTGAGTTTTTTTGGAAGAATTTTTTTCTATAAATAGATAGAGCTTTCACAATAATTTCAAAGCTCTCAATGGGTATCCTCACAAGAGGAGACCCTAAAAGAGAGTTTCCAATTAAATTTTATTATATATATATAATATATAATATATATATATATATATATATAATATAAGAAAGAAAGAAAAGAAAGAATAAAAAAAAGAAAAAAAATTCAAAATTTCGTTTTTATCAACCCGGAGAACCGGAACCGGGTCGACCGGTTCACCGGTCCGACCGCCGGTTTTCCCGGTTCTCCCAAAATAGGCCGGTTTTTCACTGCGACCGGTTCTATGGGTATACCGGACCGGAACCTCGACCGGTCGGCGGTTCAACCGCTTGAAGCGGCCGGTCCGGTCCGGTATTTAAAACCATGATTGAGCGTAAGAATATAAAAAAAAATTACATATCAGTTGAAAAATTTATAAAAATTAATAATTAAAATTTAAAATTTTGCATACATTTATATAAAAATAAAAATAAAAATCTATCCCCACTGATTACACTTAGGTTAAAAATTTATTTTTTCACTTTTTAATTTTTTATCACATCACATTTTTATTTTTTACACATATTTTTACAAAAAATTAAAAAATTAACTTTTAACCTACTTAAAATAAACCTTTGTGACCCCAAAATATAATAAAGTTTAAATATATACTACCATTAATAAAAAATTTAGTAGTAATTTTCTGGGAAATTTCTCATTCCTTGACTTTTTCTTCCCAAAATCATTTTCCATTACAGTTACACTAGTCTTTCTTTCCCGAGAAAATCATTTCACTCTCTCTTATCTTGTTCCGAGCCCCACTCCTCTTTCTCACTCCGCTCCAACACCGACGCTAGAAACCCAGAGCCCTAGAAACTAGAAATGGCAAACCTTGAGCTCCGATCACTCGGAAACACAGGCCTCAAGCTCAGTTCCGTTGGCTTCGGGGCCTCACCTCTCGGCAACGTCTTCGGGCCTGTCTCCGAGGACGACGCCTTCGCCTCTGTCCGCGATGCCTTTCGCCTCGGCATCAATTTCTTCGACACCTCTCCGTACGCATTGTCTCTCTGTGTATTTTTTGATGTGCTCACAATTTGGGTTTTTTATTTCGTTTTCTGGGTTGATCGCATTCAATCACAAGAGATTGTCTTTCTTGAGTATTTTTTTGATTTGTTCACGATTTGGGTTTTTGATTTTGTTTTCTGGGTTGTTGCTTTTTCAAGGTATTATGGAGGAACAGTGTCTGAGAAAGTATTGGGCAAGGCACTGAAAGCTATGGGGGTGCCGAGAAACGAGTACATTGTGTCGACAAAGTGTGGGAGGTATGTTGATGGCTTTGATTTCAGTGCCGAGAGAGTGACTAGGAGCATTGATGAGAGCTTGGATAGGTTGCAGCTTGACTATGTTGATATATTGCAATGCCATGATATTGAATTTGGGTCTCTTGATCAGGTGCTTAACTCTGGGTATTACTGAATTCAGAAATCAATATCTTGGTCCTCTTTCTTTTTGATATGAGGAGTCTCTTGATCTGATACTGAGTTTGAGTTGCTTGATCAGGCGTTTTATATTGCGTTTTATTAGCAGTTCCTTTATAAATTGGGGTTTTCTTGATGGGTGCTAATTTGTGTATGCCTGCTGATGTATTGAATTCACATAACTTAGTTTCAGCATTCCAAGCTTTCCTTTTGCATCTCTGGGTCGCGTTGTGAACTGGCATTTCTTAAGTTCTATTACTAATTTTTATAAAAAAAATGGATAAAGAGAAACCCGTAATACGCAGTTCAGAGAAGGAGGCAAAATAAGTTCTAATAGAACTTAAGATCAATTGTTTCTCTTGATCATGTGCTGATTTGGGTATTACTCGTTTTGTGAAATGAAAAGGTTTTTAAATATGTCCCACCCGAACCAACCTGTACGAGTAGTGAAGAACTATAGAGAACTTTTTTTGGTTGTTGACCAACGGAAAGCATGGGAGAACGATAAGATTTCACTTCTTCACAAGCGAAGAAAGAGAGACTAGACAGAAAGAGATAAGGATCTTCGACCAGATCGATCTACAACAAGAGGTGAAAGCACTTTGTTGCTACTGGCTTTCAATTACCTGATCTGGATATCACCTGTACTGATCTGGGTATTACTGGTTTCTCTTTATCTGATCTGGGTACCACCTGATGAAGCAACAACAATTGATCTAAGTTCTATAATCTATTACTATTTGTTTTTGACACCTACGATGAACTGGGTATTATTGGTTTCTCTTTATCTATCTTTTTAGATTTTGAGAATAGATTTTTTTCCACCCATCTTTTCATGTTTTTGACGTGGCCTGTGGAGTCTCTTTCATTTATGCAATTTTCGCATTTGTTGTTGAAAAAGTAATTGTGAAGCTTTGGTTGGTTTGTTTTGGTTATACGAACAGATTGTGAATGAGACTATTCCTGCTCTTCAAAAACTAAAGGAAGCAGGGAAGATCCGATTCATTGGTATTACAGGACTTCCGCTTGGGGTTTTTACTTATGTCCTTGATCGGGTGCCACCAGGCACAGTCGATGTGATTCTGTCATATTGCCACTATAGTATTAATGATTCAACTCTGGAAGATCTACTGCCTTACTTGAAGAGCAAGGGTGTGGGGGTGATCAGTGCTTCTCCTCTTTCAATGGGGCTTCTTACAGAGCGTGGCCCTCCGGAGTGGCACCCAGCTTCGCCTGAACTCAAGGTCTTCCTTTTTCTTATATAATCTAGTTTTTCTTTTCTTAACAGTTTTTCAGCATTACCTCATGACCTAAAGATGAATATGTTGTTTAGTTAATTAGTTTGTGAAAGTTGATTTATGCTAGTAGCTAGTAGGGCAGAACTGTCAAAGGGTACAGAAAGATGGTTAATTTTGTTTCTCTTTTTTGTTTTCCCATCACATTGTAATCTAATAAGAATGGGTACTTATTGAGGTGTTGAGGCCTAGTGGATGTCACCAGTAATGGAGCTTGTCAGTTGGTCATTTTATCTGGCATTACTAGTTAGATTACTTGACTGAGATGTAGCATACTAAGATGAAAAACGGATCTGTTTATTGTTCCAGTGTGTGGTTTATATATCAAGACTCGATACCGTTCACAGCCTGTTAAGCAGCAATATTAAGAGTCCGACTATAAACTTCTGTTTTGGTATTTGTAACGTTCTTCTGTTGCTCTGAAGTGTTTTCTCACTTGTAAATGGGATTTGTCTCATCTAAATCCTGCTCTTGCTTTTGATTCACGTAAAACTACAACTACTTGATCACTTGCAGCTGTTTTTCCTTTCAGGCTGCATGCCAAGCCGCTGCTGCTTATTGTAAAGAGAATGGGAAAAATATATCGAAGTTAGCTATGCAGTACAGCTTGTCAAATAAAGATATTTCTTCTGTACTGGTTGGCATGAACTCCGTGAAACAGGTTATGGTTCACCATTGTTTATTGCTACAACTTCTCCTGTATAGAACCATATGTTTCAGTTTTCCTTGAATTTCTTTATCTCAAAGCCTTGAATCCTCTTGCTTAACCCATGTCTAACATGTTCATTCTTTAGTAAATAAATGTCCAATTCCATGAAATTGTCTGAAATTAGAACCGTTGCAAAAAAAATAATAAATAATATCAACTCTGATAAAGTCAGACCGAAGAATATCTTGATGTTTCTTCTCCACAATGAATGTCCAAATTTGTATACCAAGGTTTGTGATTGTGTTAGTAAAATTGCTAGTGTCCCAAGCATTGTTGAAAAATAATATCAAATTTGAAGTTAGACAGAAGAATATCTTGATAATTCTCCTTCGCAACACTCCGTACATTCCAATTCTTAAGTGATGACATTTAAGTGTTTTTCAATAATCAGGTTGAAGAGAATGTGGCTGCTGCTAAAGAACTCGCCATGTTTGGGAAGGATGAGAAAGCTCTGTCAGAGATTGAAGAGATATTAAATCCGGTGATGAATCAGACATGGCCTAGCGGTATACAACAAAGTTGAGATTGCTTTGTGAAAAGTGGCCTACCCATTTACATCTTTCCTTCTCCTTTTTCATGCTTTTGATTTCACTACCTTGCTCCATTTGTTATAAACTATCTACATTTGTAGCGACAATAAATATTATCCTCCTCTAGGGGCTAAGACCCTTGTAATTCAAACATCATGGCATGAAAAAATGAAAATTGGGAATTGGAAGCCTGTCAATGTCGCTTGATGCGGTTGTAAAATTCATTTGTTATTGTAAAATATGCAGAACAGGAGATGAATAAATTGAGCTCAATCTTCTGGCCTCGTTTGGAGACTTAAGATTTTAATTAGAAAATTATTATAAATTGTCACATTATTTTCTCTATTTTTTTACAAATTATTTTATATAGAACTGTTGCCAATAACTTCCTCACTCTCAGTGCACCAAAAGATTGTTTTGTTTTGTTCAATAGGATTGGTCTCTTTCAGACCATCGGATAGTAATACGAGTAACAGATGATTCTTCCAAAAATTTGGCTCCAAAAATTTTGTAGATTGAATCTCAAGGGCCAGGTTGAAAAACCTAAAATCAGAGAAAACAAAATAAAGTACTATTAAGGAAAAACACATGAATCAAAAATGGAGTTGTTCAAGTTGCTCAAATAAACCAATAATACATCCATCAACCAGAGTCTTTTGGTTAAAACACAAAAAGCTGTCCTGATCTCAAAAACAATCTTCTCAAACTCGTGTATTGTTGAAGCTCACTTGGTCCCTCTCTCTCTCTTTTTTCTTTTAATTATAAACAGGAAATGTAACATAATTTGATAAAGAACTAAAATGCAGAGGCACACATCTACTTCTAATGATACCATCATTAATGAATTTTGTACATACGTAAATACATTGCAAAAAAGTTAGGACCTTCTATTGTTTTGAAAATGAGCAATGGACATATGGTACAGCAGTTACAGGACCGATGATGGTCTAATATGAACCGTGATTCACTAGCAAAAGGAAGGTTTTTGTATCATGGAGTTGAAAATCCGCATATCGAGATTACATTTTTACCTGGCAACCTCTTGCAAAGGAGGCCAAGCAATCTCATCATCATTTGTATATCCTTGAATGAGGAAATCCGAACAGTTCTTTCGACACCCATGGTTATATGGGTTACGGAACCGCCCATCTGGATTGCGAAGATACGCATAGCGTACTGAATTGATTGCTTCGTTTGTGGTAAGATTCCGAGCAATCTGCATTAGAAATGCAAAACCATGTCAAAAATAAAACACCACCCAACAAATGAACAAATCATCTACGTCTTCGTGTAAAATAACTGATTTTGCCGATTCAGGATTAATTTTTTTGGACAACATGACAAATTAGTGGCAGATAAACCTTACTTTGCACATGCATTATATCGTATAAAAAGGGGCCTCTTAAAAGGACTTGAGAGCATTTGAGCATCCTGAATGTGCTAGGATGATGCCTACTTAACGGTAGAGAACACACTAGGATGATGCCTACTTCACGGTAGAGAACACACTAGGATGCCTGCTAGTGAACTCAAGAGTTTTCTTCCAAATGCATTCTAGGGTTTTTTGAAGGAAAGAACACCTTCCTACTGTTCATGTTACCCAGCATCCTGCAGTGCCATTGCGGTAGTAACCTGAACAAGTTCAATGGTCACACAAAAGCATGTGCCCAGAGTTACTCTATAGTTTCTAATGGTACTCTAGTTAAGTTAACCCATCGCGGGGTAGGGAAGTCCAGGTTTGCTTGCATTCTTTGCAATCAAGCCTCACTTCCTTTTTTCTTTGCAATCGAGCAAAAATATTGCCCTCTCCGACATTATGGCTTCATGGAAACAAGATGACGACATTAAATTATAGAAGTTCAGCACCCTTAAAAAATGGGAAATTTAGTTATAAGCCCCTTTTACCTTCCTTTCATTGTTAAAAGAATTAAGAAAAAAATTATACTTTCTAAGTCCCCTCATAATTATAAAGTCTTGCATAAAGGACAAAATTTATTATTTAAATATTTTATAGGACTATTATACCCTCAACTTCTGCATATATAATCAGCTTCGTCATCAACTGTATCATAATCACCATAGTAGCATCTTCCAAGCTTCAGCAGAAGGTCGTCAACAAGCCGCCGCCATAGTCGCGTTTTCCAAGCTTCAGCAGAAGGTCCTCTCTTCATCTTCATAATCAGCAACGATGTGGCTTCGAGTATGTTGAAATTGAATGAGGATGTCGTTGGAGATTCGAAAGCTAGGGTTTCGGAGCAGATGGAGATTCGGAGTGCGGTGGAGATGGCTCAATTGGAAGCGGAGAAGAAACATGATGAGGTGGTTGATGAGATGCTGGCGATGTTGAATGCGAAGGCTGAAGCTTCGAGATTGAAAGAAGTTGAACAGGAGGTTGGGAAGGATGTGGATGAGGAACAGTAGAATATGTATATATATATATTTGTGTGTATGAGTGTTGTTGAACACATGTATTCTTTTTCATTGAGATGTGTGATTGTTGATCGAGTTTTAGAAGTTTTTCGTTTCAATTAGATATGTGGATTTGTTGATTAATTTATTTTGTTTTTGTTTGTTTGTTTGTTTGTTTGTTTTTGATTTATTTTTGTTGTTTTTTATCTAATTTCATTTGACAGAACCAGAGTAAAATTTTACTCTGGTTCTGTTGCTCTGTTTTTTTCATTTGACAGAACCAGAGTAAAATTTTACTTTCATACAGAGTAAAATTTTACTTTTGTGTAGAATCTAACATTTTACTTATTTTTCAGAATAAAATTTTACTTTTGTGTAGAGTCTAATATTTTTTACTAGTTTTTCAGAGTAAAATTTTAATTTTATACAAAGTAAAATTTTACTTTTAGTTTTAGAGTGTAACATTTTACTCTTATTCAGAATAAAATTTTACTTTTATGCAGAGTAAAATTTTACTTTTAGTTTCAGAATGTAAAATTTTACTTTTATACAGAGTAAAATTTTACTCTGAAATATATAGTGAAGATGGCTTAATAGGAGAGTTGATAGATATGAGGGTAATATAGTAAAAGAAACAAGTTTTAAAATATTAGGGGGTTTTGAAAGTACTTATATAATTATTGTATTTTTGAAAGACAAATTAGATAGTGAGGGGCTATCACCAAATCCCCCTTAAAAAATTGAGGAAGCAACTCTGTCCGTGTAACAGATTAGATTAATACAGCTCTACAAAAATAAGCGTATTTATGAAGCCAATCATTGGCAAACAGTAATGAACATAAGTAAACAAATAAACTAATGGTCAGACCACTTACCTGGGATGCTTGCACTGTCAACAAAGATGCAGCAGCCAGAAAAATGATAGCGTCCATAACCAGAAAAGCTACCAGACCAGGATGTTGAACTACCACAAAATGAATCCACGTTTCTCCAACTGGCAATGACATTGGTGCCATCCAAATTCCTGTCATAATGGATCAGGCTGTAATCTAATCCAAAATGTCATGTAAAATATCACAACATTAAATGTTACTAGACCCACATACTTTGAACAGCAACAATAGCACCGAGGAATGATGACAAAGCTCCCATGCAGAGAAAAACAAAGAAGTCCCATTTATTCCTCTGCAAAACTCATAAAGATCACAGTAATGAAGCTGATGATGATTTCAGTGAAGAAGAAGAAGAAGAAGAAAAGAATTAAGGTCATATGCAAAACATGAATGAATTTATCATGTGGTATTAAAGAAATAGAAAAATATCAACAGATAAAGTACCCCAAAAAAAAAATAAAAACAGAACTTCACATATTCGAAAACAGATCTTACAATAGCTCTGAAGTTTAGTCACTAGCAGCTAATACATAAATGAACCGAATAGAGAACTGAACTGATTAACTGGAGAACTGAATCAAACCAAACCCAATCCAACCTTCATATTTTGGTTTGGTCTGGTTCTTAGAATGCTCTGATTATATTCCAAAATTCAAATAACCAATCACCTTGAAGGTCAGTGGGTCAATTTATTAGAACCAACCTGAGAACAACTCCATGTATGTGTGGGATAAAAAATTATGAAAACCACAATCTTGCGACTCCAGCAAACTAACATTAGAACCAGCCATGCATACATGGCTAAACAACGAGATCTAGACATCAACGATGAGGTGGATACAATACAGCTATAAATGGATCCAAACTCTCACACCTTAGTATATATTATATGGGATGCTTCTCCCATATTGGCTAAAAAAGAGCCACTTCTAGCCCACATTTCCTGTATACATGGTGATCTGGGTCATGGCATCCAAATATGACTTGCTCACCTAAACCAGTAAAAGAACAATGTTTTTCTTCCACCTCATCTCAGAGATATTGGCCCCACACCTCCAAGCAAAGAGCCTTGAACTTATTGGCTTTGTAATCAACTGACATTACACCATAGCCTTAGTCATTTGGACCTCTATATTACATAAAATCCACCCAACAGTTCTGGACCAAACTAAACCACAAGTCCTGGTTTGGTTTATTTCAATTTTTAACTTCAAGCTTTGGGCCAGGGTTGTGATTTTGGATAATAAACTAATTCAGTTCCGTATTAGGCTACGCACCACCCAAACTAATCCATGTCCATTTTGGGCTAGGCACCAACACAAACCAATCCATGTGCTCCCCTACTGACTGGTGCACAGCAAAATTGGGAACAAGAATGTGGTCCCCTCTCCGGAAGAAACTTTAAGATGCAATGTTAACAAGTTAATAGACCTCAAACATTTCAATTGTTTAATCATCCAGTTACACATGCATTCAAATAGATTTTAGCTTTGTTTTCAAACAGTGTTGTGTCTTTCCAAAAAATTTACTACATTAATATTTCTGAAATATTTCAGTTTCCAAGATAACCGAAACAAAGCATTTTGTTCTTTGTTGCTTTCTAACACTAAAAGGTTTCTCCACTTTGTGCAAACAATGACTAAGCACTCTAGTATTGATTGACAGGCATTAACAAACCAATAGCACAGAAGCGGGATATAGAACCCCTTGTAGCCCCACTTGCATAACAAAGATAAAAGAATATTTTACTTCCTGAGTTCAAAAGCTTTGGACTGTTAAGCGTTGGCACAATTTTCCAACACAAGGTCATGACAAATCCTCACTGCCACATGCCAAACATAATAGTGTTAAACCAACAGGACTTGTTTAATCCTCTCAAGCAAAAATACTAAGATGAAGTCCAAAGGAAACAGAGAGCATAATAACATCCTTCAAACAGCAATGAAAAAAATACCATAATTTCATTCATGATGGTCAAAACAATATCAAAAGACAAGTTTTTTCCATTTATCGATATTCATCATCCATTCTAAATAAGCATCGTTTGACTTCATGTTCCGTATTTCACACTACATTTTATTATTCAGTAATAGTAGAATAATTTACCTTTCCAACACAGTTAGAGATCCAGGGGCAGTGATGGTCAAACTGTTCCACACAGTGCTTGCATGTAGGGCAGTGCTTTGAGCGAACAGGTCTAATTATCTGGGATTTAAAAAGATTAGAAAAAAATTCTTAAACAGTATCTTTAGCATTAAATGCATTGAGAAAGAATATAGTTGTTTCCATACATATATATATATATATATATTTTATCTATAGTATTGTAGGAAAAGAAGTTTGCAGAGAAAACCTTGCAGGTAGGGCAAAGTTGAGACCAATTCCCAGTCCAGATAGAGGAATTGTTCAGATCAATATTCACCAAAGGATCCTGTTAAGTGTACAAAATCCTTTCACATACCAAAATATTAACAAAACATAGCCATTTATTATTACATCCATTACAGTATTTTATTTTTTATATTTTTGAACAAACATCCATTACAGTATGTAACACCAAAAAGCAATATAGCCATTTATTACAAGCAGCACTACCATAAGAAACACCAAAAAAAGCAATAAGTCTAATAAACAAAAGTTTCACAAAGGAAACATTCTTGTGTCAAAGAATGAAGAGGTGGAGTAAAAATGTCATGACACGCCTACTCAAAACAAAGCAGGGGGTTAGCCACCAACAAGATCCCAAATTTATATAGGAGTTTTTTTTTTTTTTTAAATTTTTTTATTGCCATATATACAAGAGTCTTTCTGCAATACTGGTAATAATCATATGCAAATATAACTATCTTTTGACATTCTTCATCTTATACGACTAGAGAAACCTTGGAAATAACGGTTTCAATCAAATCCAATCCAGTACATATTAGTTAATCTTTGTTGCAGAAGAAGAAACCGTCTTCTTATCCTGAATTGTGGTTGAGACGTTAAAAACATGGGCAACTTAGTCAGAAATACAGGATTGTGAGGAAATCACAAGGGTAAATTACACTAACCCCCGCTGAGGTTTGGAAAAAATACAGTAAGTCCCACAGTTTTTGACATAATTACACTAATAACCTCCCTTTTCATAAGGTTAAATGGACCGAAACCAATGCAAATGGTCCGAAAACACATAAACAAACAATGTATAGTATACATCTTCATGTAAAAGAGATGTAACATCATTTTTTCATCCATTTTATTTTTTCATCCATATAACAAACAAATTATTGATGAAAAGGAGGGCTAAGTGTTATATGAATTAAAATCTCAAGAGAGCTCAATGTAATTATGTCAAACTGTGGGGGGCTTACTGTATTTTCTCCAAATCTCAAAAGGGAGGTCAGTGTAATTTACCCAAATAACAATATAGCTCTAGGTGAGTTGAGAATAGTTAAAGTTAAATTGGATGTTCATTTGTGAAAGCATTTATTCAGAATGCCTAGAAAGCTAAAACTCAACAAGTTGCCAGCAAAACACTTCCTTACTCCGTCCAATAGAGTGCAAGTATGCAATTAGCTTTAGCTATTGTATTAACATATTAGACTCTTATAGTTCTGTAAAAATTGTCATAAAGCCAAGTAACATAGTAAAAGTAGCACACCTCTGCATCTGTATGACCACCCTTCCCTCCTGATGTTTTTATATACCCTGGATCTTTACTGTAATCAAATAGAGATCATTATCACTAAACTTGAGATGACACAAAGAAATGCATACATGAGAATAATATTGCATACAGCAACAACTCAAATCAAAAGTGCAAGTACACTGACTTCACAAGTTCTTTTACTCGTTTAAAAAAGAAAAAAGGAAATTTTAAAATTAAAAATAAAATATCTATCAATATATTTCTGCATAGTCATTATAGTAGTTAATATTTATGGATTCAACACTGACAAACTGAATTGTTTTTCCAGAACCTTTAATCATAATCAAGTTCGAGTAACACCAAACATTTTGCTTACTTCTCGAGCAAGTTTGTTGATCTTATTAACCATAACTCATTGACGCTATTGGATCAGCTTTACAATATCTAAGGTCCAGAGTATTCAAATCATGATATAAAAGAACTCTGAGTTATCCATCAAAACAACACCACTTTTGATAAGTTATCATTTTGAAACAGGAAGTGAAGTTATAGTATCTTCTTCCTACACGAAAGTTGATTACATGCAATGAATCAACATAAATCACCAAGGACAGTAGCTAGTAAGCAAAATGTAGAAACAAGAAAACACAAATCAAGTAGCAGTACTTGAAAATAACTTCATATGAATCTTATCAAATGTCTTACTTTGCCATTCAACGCTTTGCCCAAATATAATTAGAATTGTGGAGTGTGTAAATTTTCTAGTACACAAGGGGTGCTCATATTTAATTCAACATAGAAATCCGAAAGGGAATGAGAAAAATGACAGTAAGCATTAGTACATGTCAGGTGGCTATCTTGAATATCAATAGATCATAGAGTAAATAATTACCTACTGCACCGATAGAACATCATCAATGCAGCAATTACTACAGAAACAGCTGTCCATCCCCAAAGTCCAAGTATAGCAGTAACCTTTGGAAGATCAGGAGCTAGCATGAGTAGAAATGAATCAGTCATAACATACTTCCCATACGATACGATTAAAAGATGTCATAAATTATAGCTTCACTCACCAAAAAGAACTGAGTTGATGAAAAGGATGGTGTTAATAAAAATTAAGCAGAACAGAATATGGGCATAACCTATATCCCTTAATCTGCCAATGCAAAATTTGTCTATCCAGCGCTTGCTTAGAGCATTCTGTGCATTAGACTGAACAAAAGCAAAATATACAGAGTCAGTTTGCAAGGCACCAGATGGCAACAATGTAAGATTAACCTATGATGAGCAGAGTAAAATTAGGCTACAACAAAGGTCGGGAATAGAGTAAAACCAAACCAAATTTTATCAATCTAATGTACATTGGACCACAATTGACAGCTAATGGCCTCCTATGCAGTATTACTAATTCTCAGTTACCAACCATAAGCAACAACTACAATAGAAATAAGTTAACTCTCTCCTATGATGCAGAGCATGCCAACAAGAAATGGGGAAAAAAAAAAAGGAGTTTCACATTAAGCATGTTTAGGGTATCATAGAATGAGGTTTGGGATTAATTTTCAGTCATTATTTGTATTTATTTCAATTTAGCATGCTATGGGAGAATTTGTTTGTCTTTTCTAACATTATAGATTATGTGATCATGACATTCATTACAAAACAATTATGTTTCACACCCACCTCCACAACAGCCAACTGCTATTACTAGTGCACCAATGTCACTACCACTATCTATACCAATGCCATCGAGTTCAGATGTCTTTGTCCCATCAAAATTAGTCCATATCTTCCCAATACTTCCACTGCCGCCTTAACCACCTTACCACTTTAGATGGTTGATGCGGTTAAGGGGGAAGTGATAAAATAGATCAGATAGTGCAGGTGCTCTTTAGAGATCAAGTGAGAGGTGAGGCAGCCCCAGCATAAGCACAAGTGCAAGTAGAGATTACAGTGGGAATCCCAAGAACCGGGCTCCCCATTCAGAATAATAGCATTGTTCTTGTTGTGAAAAGAGAGAGTAGAGCACATACCAAAGAGATTGTCAGAATGTGACCTTTGCACAATAATAGAAGAACGTTTAGAGTCCATGTGCTCTATTGGCAGAAAAAATGACACGTTGTCCAATAGACTAAGACTTCTAGAAGGTTCCAGTGAAATCTCTATCTTTCTCTAGGACTGTTTAAGGCACATGACTCACAAGGGGTAAAGTGTCTTGGCAGATCTGTCTGTAGTAATCAAGTGATATGACCCCAAAATGTGATGTCATGAACTAGCTCTACCTCTTATGCCCTGCCCTCCACCTAGTTAAAGAGATTCAAAGTGTCAACTATGTTTAAGCACCCAAGAGGTCATCAACGAAGTGACCATTGTTCGGTGGCTCGACCTAAAAAAGGGAGCATTGGAATGTTGTTCAGTTAGGGAGCCTGAAATCCCCATATGCTGACTAGCACATGACTACCACTGCTGAAGTGTTATGGACACATGTCATTTTTTTGATCAGCAACAAACAAAGATTTATTAAGGCACAAGGCCAAAAAAAAAGAGGATAAGGCATCCTCTACAAGGAAGACAGAAAACAAAACCAACACTTAACAAAAGAAGATACAAAGATTTATGGACACATGTCATTAACTCATACAGATATCATGTGCCTACCGCCACTAACACTTCTAACGACGCCTCCACCACCACTAGAACCATATTTTGAACTATATTGTTCATGAGTTCAATTTAATCATTTGGATCGGCAATTAAATCTCCAAATGTAATTTAACGATGTAATACGTTGTTACCATCAGGATAGGGATGGCCATGGGGAGGGTTTGTCATTCCCCGCCCCCGCTTTCAAACCCCACCCCCGCCCCCCCCGCCCCAATCCCGCTACGGATAGAATTTTTCATCCCCATCTCCGCCCCCGCGGATACCCGATCACATTTCAAATAGCCAAAACAATTGAGAACCATTTAAATCCTTAACTTAACACACTAAATAATTTCTCTTATTTCCATATATATAAACAGTGAGACTTTTAGGATTATTATTTATTTATATTTAAATAAAGCCACAGACTTTAGTATTTCTTTCTTATATCTAATTATATTATATATATACATATATTATTTATTTATTATTAATTATATCGGGTCGGGTTTGGATCGGGGGAGGCGAAACCCGCTCCCGCCCCACATAAGTGTCGAGTCGGGTAAAATCCGCCCGATTTGGACGGGTATGGCAGGCCCCCGCAGATCGAACTAAAATGGCCATGCCTACATCAGGATACTTACATAATGCTTATAAAAAATGGTATCTCATTATTATTTTCATAATTAACAAAAAGAATAATGTATCTCCTAATTATAATTATACAAGACATGTTTTTTATCTTATGGTAATAGCAGAAGAACCAGACACAGACACAGACACAGAATCTCAGCATGTTATGCCAACAAATCCTCACAACAAAACAGATTCTTGTGCTAAACAGAACTTAAATTTTTGAAGGTCATATATTGAGTCCTGAAATCTACAACTATATACTGCCAAAGGTAAGATCAATAAATGTTACGTACAAGGAATAAGGCGATATGCCGATGACCTTTATCAGATGCCAGCTGTACAGGAGTGAATCCAGTATTATCTTTCACCGATAATTCTTGTTTTGTGCCTGCATGTACAAGTACAGTACATGCTTCCACATGCCCTCTTATCACAGCCCAGTGCAAAGGAGTACAACCTAACATAAAGAATATTCAACAATATTGCATTAATTACCGAAACAGGTTCCAAATAAAGCATTTTTTTTAGTCATAATAATGACACAGCCATTGCCCTGAGAGGTAAATTTGATATATAAAAATTGAAGTATATAGACAAAAATCAGGATACAATTTTCTTTAGTACATATATATATATATATATTTTTTTTATGTCAGGTATCATGCCCAGTTGATTGAAGTTCTCTACAATATAATGTGGTACCTTCATAGAAGAAAGAAGAGGAGGGTAAAGACATGCACAGTAGAAACTCCAAGTCAACTGAACTCACCAAATTTTTTGAGGATTGTCAATTTGGTTCCCCAGGAAACATAAGAGAACAAAATTGACAATATGTCAGTCATAGTTAAGGTTTTAATTTCTTTTGTTCTCTTGGATTAGGGGTTGTTTGTCGACTTGCAATATGTCAGTCATAGTTAATGGTAAACCAGGGGAGTGTTTTAGGGGCTTCGCGAGGGCTTCGACAAGGGGACCCACTTTCTCCCTTTCTTTTTATTTTTGGTGGCGGATGTTTTGGGCAGGATGGTTGATAGAGCTAAAGAAACAGGTCTTTGTTAGAATTTCCCATCTTTACCTTCACCTACTCCACTACACACTCCACTTCACCTACCTCCACTTCACCACACACTCCACTTCACCTAACCCACTATCACCTCCACTACACCTACTACCACATTTTCTTCTATATATAGATTGTATAGGAATTGTAATTAATTAATCTTGTAATCAATCTTGTAATCAATCAAGCAATAATATTACATCATTTTTAACAGTCTTGTTGAGGGGTTGGAGGTGGGGAGGGATAGTGTTAGTATGACTCATTTACAATATGCGGATGATACTATATTTTTTTCCACGGGGGATGAAAATCAGATACTTAACCTTTATTCGATCTTGAGAATTTTTGGGCTTATTTCGGGGCTCAAGGTTAATTTGGGAAAAAATAGTCTGGTGGGAATTAATATGCAGCAAGATCAACTTCAGAGTAGGGCGTCTCTTTTAGGTTGTGGTATAGAGTTCCTTCCGATTAAGTATTTGGGTCTCCCATTGGGGGGTAATCCTAGAAGTGAAGCTTTTTGGACTCCAGTAATGGAAAAGATTGGCAAAAGGTTGGAAGGTTGGAGTAAGGCTTTATTATCTCGGCGGGGAAGGTACACTTTGGTTAAGACTGTTTTGAGCGGAATTCCTATCTATTATTTATCTTTGTTCAAGATTCCGGTTAAGGTGGCAAGGTCGATAGAAAAGTTGATGCGGGATTTTCTTTGGGAAGGTAAGGATGAGGGGAAAAAGGATCATTTGGTGAATTGGGAGGTGGTGTCGTTACTTAAGGAGAAAGGGGGTTTGGCTATCGGTAACATTGTAACTAAGAACTTGGCCCTTCTTGGCAAGTGGTTATGGAGATTTCCACTGGAGATTAATTCACTATGGCATTCGGTTATAAGAAGCAAATACGGGATTCAGAACAATGGTAGGGATTCACGAGTGGTTTTAAGGGGTAGTTGCCGTGCTCCTTGGAAGTCAATTTCTCAAATTTTCACGTGTTGGTCTCGACATCTTTCTGTAAGGGTGGGTAATGGGAAAATTGTTTGGTTTTGGGAAGATGTTTGGATGGGTCAATCTTCTTTTGCTGCGGATTTTCCGCATCTTTATCGCGTGGCTCGTTCTCATAATTCTTCAATTGTTTCCATGGCTTGCTCTCTCTTAGCTCCAATTGCTTGGAATTTTGATTTTTCTAGAAATCTTAATGATAGGGCGGCTTCACAGTTGGTTTCTTTATTATCTAGAATTGATCACTTTTCTTTATCTCCTCTTTTGGAGGACAAGAGGGTTTGGGCACTTCATTCGTCCGGAATATTTTCTTCTAAGTCTTTTTTTGATCACATCATTGATAATCCTCAAATCCCTCAATTTCCTTTTTGTAAAAAAGTTTGGAAGGCTTGTGCTCCCTTAAAGGTAAAGGTGTTCATGTGGGCCTTGGTTCATGGAAGAATTTTGACAAATGATACATTGCAGAAAAGGAGACCCAATCGTTTTTTAAATCCTCAGTGGTGCATTCTGTGTTGTAAGAGCGGAGAATCCGTGGATCATTTATTCTTGCATTGTCCAATAGCTTTGAATTTATGGCATAGATATTGTTTTGTGTTGGAAATGGTATGTGGGTGGCCCCAAAAAGGAGTGTGCATATGCTCTTAATTGATTTTCATACATTTGGAGGATCGAAGAGAGCCAAAATTTTATGGACTTGTGCTGTCTTTGCAACTTTTTGGTTGCTATGGTGGGAGCGAAATCAGAGGTTGTTTGAAGATAAGTTTCGGGAGGTGGACTGTTTATGGGATCATGTTTGTCACTTATTTTCTTTTTGGGCGTCGGGGAACTCTTTATTTAAGGGAGTTCCACTCTTTTTGTTAGCTAGAGATTGGTTGGCAGTGTGTGCTTTGTAAGCTTTTGCTTGTTTTTAGTCGGTTAGGGACTTTTTCTGTTGTCTTTTCATTGTTTTGTATTTAGAGGATGCCTCGTCCTCTTCCCTCCTTTTGCAGTTTTATCAATAAAGCTTTTGTTGTTGATCAAAAAAAATATATATATATTTTCATTAAAGTAGAAAAACTAACAACTCTCTTGAACGAGGCCTAATAAAATAATCTGGTTTAGTTGTACAAGTTTTACAATTGCCTTATTTTCTATATATAATTTGAAACCAAAACAATGGAAGACAAACTCTTTATAGTTCTTCCAGTTTCTTGGGAATCATAGTATTGTCCTTTGCATGTGGATGGTTTTACATAGGAGAAATTATTCAATGCTCTTGGAGCAAATCTAGATGGTGCTCCAAAGTAGTAGTTATTGGACTAAACTATGGGACCCACTACTTTTGTTTTAAGAGTGTTAGGTATCAACTTGTAAATGGAATGGAGCATTGCTCCAGGAGCATTGAATAATTTCTCCTTACATGGATTTGAAGGAAATTTCAAGATAAATAACCGAGAGAACAAACAAAAAAAATTAAGGAAAATGATAGATCCCTTGTTATAATACCTTCTTTATCTTGTCTCTCCTGGGAGGCATCTCTAAATAAAAGTAATCTAATTGTATCTGCAAATCCTTTGTATGCAGCCCTGGTTGAATGCACTAAAGAGTAAGTTATCTAATTCAAAAGCTTACATAACAAATTAAGATATTCACAAACACAATATTACTACCATGCTCATTAATCAAAACTTATAATCAATTCAAAATATCTCGTATTGGCCCTGACCCTGATATAGATGGACAAAAATTCAAACAAATAGAATTAGATAAAATGGAAGTATCAATATTCACCTTCAACATAAAAATGAACAAAGAGGGCAAACTACAAGCATGAACAAAATAATCCTACTTGATTCCAAAAAAAAAAGAGAAGTCTAAGAAGAATAAGAAGTGGATGAAGCATACTAGTGCCACACAAACAATTGAATCACAATTAAAATCAGCTAATAAAGGTGGTAATGGACGGAAATAGGTGGGGTTACCCCATTGACACCCACCCCAAACAGAAGCCAGTTAAAGGTCAAAAATTTCACAACAATATAAAAACTCAAGATAAATCTCACATGAAGAAGAGGATATTTATATATAGTCAAATACAAATATTGGCCATCTAACAATGAAAATAAATACCATGACGTCTTTGCATCCATCTCATGAATGGATTTTATGGTGGAGAGAAGAGGGTGTCCATGTCAACTAAGTAAAACCCTAAAACCTAATGTTTATAGAAAACAAGGTATTTGTGGGAATTCCCTACATATTGGGAACAGTTAAATAATCTTAATACATAATCGTGGTAGTGCGGGTACATCCTTCAACCGACCCCATCATGAACCCAATTAGGCTTATATAGTAGACCTGAACACACCCCTACGCCATTTAAACCCATTGCACTTTGGGGGCGGGAGCGGAAGCGGAAGCGGGAGCGGGGGCGGGAGCGGGGGCGGGAGCGGGAGCGGGGAAGCGGGAGCCGACAGAAGTTTCTTAGGTTGGGAGCGCTTCGGGAAGCGGTAATATATATATATATATCAGGGGCAGGGACCTGGCCCCTTTCCTTATGTTACCATCCCTAAATGCTACAATGGATTTGAACCAAGGCATTGAAGGTCTTATCCATGTGCCGCAACAAAATAAATTTGATATGCTAGAGCTACTTAAGACTTAAAATTTTAGTTCAAGCCCCTTCTCAAGCTAGCTATGATTGGGGGAAATACCAAAAAAAAAAATTTGCTTGGCTTTTTCAACCCTTCCAAGTTGCAACCCTATGCGCATTACAGAAAATGTTCAGAATCCTATAATTATAAACAAAATGTTGAGAATCTATGAATAAGACAAGCATCTACATTTCAAGACATAAAATCAGAGCCATTAGTTACATCATACAATCTATACACTCAAATATGTTTGAAAAGCCAATAGAATGACCTTGAACCAAAAGATTCATTGTGTATTTAAAAGGGAAATTGGATTTATGTTACAACTTACAGTAAATGAAATGTCATGTCCACTTTAAAACTAATAAAAACAAATATATATTGAAAAAAATTCATCTTCATAGTGCTCCATCGCATCTATGTGAAATACTACAAGATAGATGACATCCAGAAAAAGACCATCATGAAAGCAGAAAATTGCAGGAATCTCAACTGGAGAAGTGGTGAGTCCACCTGAAATACAGTTGAATATAAACTTTTAACATACCAATGAAGAGGGCTTCTACCATCATTATCTGGTGCATCAAAATCAGCATGATATTTTGCAACAACGTGATTTAAAAATGTTGTTTGTCCATATTGAGCTGCAACATGAACTGCCTGCATTTTAAATCACTGGATCAAAATAATGCATTACTGGATATTTAACCATCTTGAAAACCATGAAAAACAAGACAATGTGTGGTAATCCAAACATCAAGCCCGCATCTTCCCAAATTACAAATGAGAAGAAAAGCAATGAATTATTCAATCTCAAAGAGAAGCTACCATTTTTTATAAGTAATTTTAAAAGCTACAAATGTGAATAGGGCATACTGCCACAGAAAGCTACCATTTTTTTAAAGCAATTATATAAGAGACACCAAAACAAGCGGGCAATAACCCTGTAAACACAAAGTATACATCAAAATTATACCACTACATCTTTACAAGAATATGCAATTCCCCCCAAAAAAATCTATAGACGAGCCAAAAAATAGAAGGAAAGGAATCCCTAAGCCAAGAGGGACATGCCTGATTTATTTCATTTCCATCAATAATGAGAGGCCTAAAATCTGATTTTAGTTAGGAACATACAATGAAAAAAAAAGTCCTATCAATGATGATTAGGGTCACTCTGAATGTGAAAACAATCCAAAGTTTATAATGTTTACTGCATTATATATAACATTACCGGTTGTTGCATTAATGTTACCATGTAGGCAAACTTCCATTATAGAATGGAAAGGTTAACTATTAGTCCACATCAAAAATTTCAACTTACTTTCAGCATCATAACATCAAAATTATCGAATTGATATGCTCATATTTCCAAGATGTCATTGTAGGAACATGCTGATATGTCATTGTTTGACACTAGAGTAAATAAATTTCATCTCAATAAATTCAGTTTATTCATCATTGTATTATTGTGGAAGAGTGGAAAAGCAGAAGAATTGGCTTTTCACCCAATGTATTATGTGGATCATTTGGGGGGAACATAATATAACATTTTTTGGTATCAGTTGTATAGCTTTTGCTTTCCACTTTAACGTGCATGGGTTGCACCCTAGCTATATTTCCATAAAATTTTACTTATCAATATATATATATGGTATAACCAGAGTCTCCCTGATTTTGGTAGTCCAATTGGGTGTCTATTCTCTATGTCAAAAATCCAATCTTCCCTATAATCCTAAGGGTCGCATAAACAAAACAGGAACCATAGAACAAAAAAGCGCAGCTTCAATCAATTACCCGATAACCATTTACGTCAGCGGCCTCAACCCGAGCCCCATTCTGCAGTAACACATCTGCCGCCGCAATTGAACCCCTCACTGCCGCCCAATGCAACGCCGTCTGATTCGCTTTGTCAGTGGCATGCACATCTCCACCATGCTTCAACAATAACAAATTCAATTCACATTTCAAATTCAACATCTATATCTGTAAACATATATATCAGAACAAACATCAAACTCAATCCAAATGATTACCTCTATGATGTATTGCACGATAGCAGCGAAATTGTTCAGCGCAGCCCATTGAACAGCGTGATAGCCATTGGCGTCAGGTTTAGAGAGAGAAACGCCATCTTCTTCGACGAACTTCCGCAATTTCTCGAAATCTCCGTAAGCAGAAGCGCCAAAAACATCGGTAATGGCGACTTCATTAGGGTTTTGAGCCGAATTCTTCTGATCATTGGTAGAGTCTGATACGATTTCGATTTCTGATGAAGACATTGTGTGGGAATAATTAGGGTTTCAATCATATGCGATTGAATTTAGTCCTAATTCTTGAAAAGTGAATTGGGTTTTAGGGTTTATCTATGTTTGGGTTTATAGTGATGTAAAACACGAATCCGCCTGTAAAGAAAGGTCAACTTGTAATTCACAGAGAGAATCTGTTTCGGGAGCTTTTTTTTTTTTTTTTTTTTGGTTTTTGTCGTGTTTTTTAATTTTATTTTTCTTTTCCCGATGTGCCCTTGCTGTTTAATCCGTGTTTATGGAATCAAAGGGAAGATTTGAGGTTAGTTTTGTCATTTGATTATGCCGGTGATGATGATAGACAAATGGAGTATAGGCCAAGTTACAGGTCAGGGTAGTGGAGCAGACTCGTGTCGTGTTTCTGGGAGAAGGTATGAACTAAAAAATTAAATTAGAAGTGCAAATAATTGAAGAAATAATTATAGAAATATGGAGGTGCGATGTTATTGGAGTTTTGTGCTCTAATCAAAGTCAATTTTGTACTACATTACCAGATGGCTTTCACCCTTATATTTCTTATAATTTGTTTTCTTTTACTTTCCACTAATAGTTCTAGGGAAAAAACTGATTTATAATAAAAATTACAAAACAACAGATGATTGTTTACAATTACAAGAGGAGTGAAAATTTAAAATATAAGTATTTGCTTTTAAAGGTATTTTTACCTTTTTATTTTTCTTTTTCTTTCTTTTTTGTTATTTTCTTTTTGTTTTTTACTACCTTCAGCAGCCACCATTCACTGTCTCCTCATACATAGGAAATTATGTCCAAGTTTGGCATGTGGCTAAAAAGTCAATAAGTTATTCAAAAGTTAAAAAGCTACTATTATTTATCAAAAGTCAAAAATTACGACTGCACAACTCTTAATTTTAATTTTTCCCTACACATTAATTTATATAATTTATACAATTTTTTAATACACATTTTTTCATAAAAATTCAAAAAGTTAACCCAAACAACCATATTTTTTTCCTCAACTTTTTAGTCTAAAAATTCAAAAAGTACATTTATTTAGGACATTCCAAACAACCCTTATATTTTGTTCCAAGAGTAAATTCATGTGGTGCTCTAATGTGTAGTTGATTGGCTAAAATAATGGGCCCTATAATTTTTTGTCTCTCCAAAAAAGATAACAGAATAAGTGTTTTACTTTGAGGGGTCTTTTGGAAAGAAAATAAAAAGTCAATTTTTAACTTTTTATTCATTTGGGTGATTCTACTTACACCATACTTTTAGCTCCTTACACCCTCCATCTCATTACACCATCAAAAATAAATAAAACTCTCATTACACTCTCATTATATTACCTTTAGTAACCATAAATTAACCCTTTCATCTCTTTACACCACTTACCTTTTGGAGGGAAACGAGAGAAGAAGTAGCAGCAAGACGACGGGTCCGACATAGAGAAGACGAGTGTTTCGAACGGAGGGAGGGATTTGAACGGCGTTGTGGTCTGTGTTATCGGCGTGGACGATTGACTTCATTCTTCTCATTTGCTCAAGGTAAGTGAAAAACTCTTCTCTTTCTCTCTCTATATTGACAAACATATATATGTATCTATATATGTATCTCTATCATCTATATCATAAATTTTTTTGAAAAAACAAAGAATAACCACATTCCGTGCCACATTGCTTGCGTGATAAACCGACACGAAACCAAACCCCAAACCCAAAACTTCATCATATATTCATGTACGTATATACAATTCTGAAATCAGTTGAAACCAGTAAATTCTCTCTCTTTCGCCGAAGAAAATGGCTTTGAATCTCTGCACCCAATTAAGTCCCATAAGGTACCCATTTCTCCATTTTCTCTACTTTACATGTTTGTTTATGTATTAATCTTTCTTCAGATAAACAACTGGGTTTGATTAGTGTGCCATTTTATATCAGGAGAATTTTAAGCTCTGTTTTTGCCATTGATAGAATTGAAAAAAAAAATGGAAATGGAATTTGGGGCTTTAAGGTTTTTGGGTTTTGGTTCAAACATGAAAAGCTAAATTCAATGTACTATTTAATGGGGAAAAGTAATAATACTGGGATAGAAAATTAGCTTGTTATGTTGTTTTGTTATATTTTTTGACTAACCAGTAGAGCATTAGGATTTTCTTTTGTTTCTGTCAGAAGTATATAGTTCTCTTAAGTGAAGTTGGTGCATTGTCTTGCACAATTGAAAATTATGTAATTTGTATTTGTGGTGGTACTTAGTCCTGTTTCATCAATTGTTGGTTTGTTGGGTGACATAAAAGCATCAAATTTGAGTGAAAATTTGGTTAAAAGCTTGATTTGATATGCAACATTCCAATCCTTACTAAAAAAAAATCATCAAATATTAAAATTTGTAACTTATCCTAAAATTTAGTGGTAGCATTGGGTTTGAGGGTGTAGTAGATGGGAGTAGGGGTGAGGAAATGGGTTGGGCTAGTGTTTTCATTGTGTTGTTGGGAGATAAGGTGAAGTGACCTAGGGGTCTCAAATACCTAGGGTTTGTTGCTTGTGATTTTTGTTTGAGAAGGTGACATATGAAACATTGTTCTACAACAGACCCACCTAGGTTTTGATGCATAAAGGGGACCAATGAATTTGGAAGATAACTATGTTGTTAATTGTGATGGTTAGTAACTCCAGCCCTGTTTATATATATAACTAATGAAAAATCTCATTTTGAGAACTAATCTGTAATCGATATGTAGCAATTTTTTATACCCATCAAATACTATTCATCTCTTGAACATATATGCTGTCTGTATGTTTGAGAATGGAATTGGAAGGCGGCTTCATGCAAGACTATACTAAGCTTCTAGTCCTAATCAAGATAATCCTTCGTTTCAATTTCAGGGATTCTTCGAAATTTCTAAACTTTTGATTCTATGTTGTCATGAAAGACAAAAAAATGCCAATCTTGGCTAATAATAGTCATATTCTAGGCAATTATATCATTTTGACAATTTTATCATTAACCACCTAATTTAATGTGAACCATCCAGTTTGATGAGTTGGTTCTTAAATTATGATGTAAGAATGCGACAAGACAGATCTAATGGGCTAGTTTCAAGTTCAATGATTCAACTAGCCGACTCAATTCAGTTCAGATAACACTGCCCCCAATTTCACCCTTCCTCCAGACATTACAACTATTTTGCAAACATCAAAAAGGAGGCGCACACTAAAATCTAATAGGTACTTTAATTTTGTAGTTGATTAAAAAATTCAGCACCAGTTGGCTAGCAACCCATGGTGGAGTGGATCTTTACCTTCCCTTGGAGTGTCCAGTTGCATCTAGATCATCTACGACTGCTGTCATCTCTATCAATGCATAGGTCATATTGGTATGCAGAATACCAATTCATCTTTCAAAAACTTCATTTCAGCCTGCTATAATGTGAAAATCTTTGCCTCACACTAAAATTTTCTTATCCAATATTGACTAAAGATTCAGTGATGCAAGTGCAATGCATTTGAAGTAGAGAGGAAAGAGACAAACTAATTGTTTCAAATTGGGAAAGTTTTGCATTTTTTAGATGAAAATCTCTTGGAATGTTGTAAGTCACTTCATTCTTAAGAAAAGTACACATTTCAGAAGTCTGCATGTCTATCACCTCAGCAGGTGGTTGGTTTGCTCCCCACATGCTCAACCCAGGTTTGACTCTTGTAGGCACCTCCCGTTTGCCCGGATCATGTGATTAGGGGGTGTCGCTTGTTTTTCGGGTTTGCGTTCCTAGGGTGGACCCAAAGGACCCTGCGAGTATTAGTGTCTGGAGGGCATTATTTGCACATTTTGGGATGATGGAGCAAGAACTGAGCACGTCAGCCTTACATCAAGTGAAGCTAGAGCTAGTGGTTAAAGATTTTACTGGGCAGAGTTCTAGCACGTTTGATATGGATGAGAAATGCTTAATTATTGGGTGCAAGGGAACACCGGTTACTTCTCTTGCTTCTTGGAAATTCATATTAGAGTGATGAAATTAGACTATGAGATGATTTGTCTCTTTGGATGCCTCCACAAATGTGCTTTTGTAACTATGACACTCCTATAATTTGGTCGTTCTTGAGCCGTCATAAAATGTTTTGAATCCTATTCTTTTACCCAAAAAAATTATTAAACATACGGACTTTGGCGTAAGATATTTTTTTACTCTATGCACATTAAATCAAATGAATAATAAATTACAAGAATTGAAAACTCTATTATGATTTCTTATCCTTCAATTTCTAGGCAACCAAACAAACTGGTTCATACAGAATACTATTATCAAGTAATCAACAAGAGAATGAAAAACAGATAGGACTGAGAAATAAAAAAACGTTGACAAACTAAATATACAAGAAGATAAAATAAGAGGAAGTGACCAGGGGACTGTCTGTTTTGTTATTCCACAACAAACCCACTTGGGTGTGATGTCATGAAAGTGAGTCGACAGCCAGTGAATTTGGAAGAATAAAGTAAAAAACACTAGGGAATTGAAAACTCTATTATGATTTCTTATCCTATAATTTTTGTGGTCAATTTTGAAAAAAAATTCCATAACTACTCAAAATTGCACATATTAAAATAGGTAACAAATGACAAAGAGTTATCAAGAATATTGACTTGAAGACAGAATCCATAAGAGAAAAGTACATCAAAGAGCCAACCTTCAGCCTTAGATAAACTGTTATTCCCAATGGACCCATTTGGGTAAATACCCATTGGAATTATCAAACAATTAACGGTGAACTTAGAAAAAAATATTCACACAACAGCAAACATAGATACAGAGGAAGTAATTTGATTACTAAGAAATAAATTTCTGTATTTTTTGTTCCACTTATTTTTTCTTTCTTTAATTACCACTGACCAGAAAGAAAGAAAAATGCAAGGAAAATAATATACAAAGTTACAATCATACAAATCTTACAAACAAGACTTGCTTGTAGATGTGACATGCAATAATACAATTTTGGTATTTGAAGTAAGACCAACTAAATTAACATGATAGGAGCAGCTCAACTGTCTGAATAGTTTGTAAGATCTGTATGTATAGAGAGATTTTGCTGGAGTAAAGCGTGGTTTGATGGATGTAAGCCCTGGGGTGGTGGGTTTGAGTCTTAAGGTGAGACATGTAGACCCTCTAGGTTAGAAATGTGGGCTTGTTGGAAATGATGGCTCGGGGTCTGTTCTCGATTGGGAGGGATATCTTGTGGTAGTGGAGGAAGGATAGGGAGATTTTGCTGGAGTAAAGCGTTGATCAAGGCCTGGTTTTGTTCGGTCAAGCGGTTGATGTTGTTGGTGAGCTTTATGAAGTACTGAGGTGGGTTGTTTGGGTTAGAAGGCTTGGTTTGGGGGTC